TCCCTAGGCAGTTAATCCCTAGACATGTAATCCCAAAAAGGAAAGTTTAACTCTAAGAATTATGAAGAAATAATTTTAAAAAATGAAAAAATGAAAATCAAATAATTATTTATATTATAAAATCAAAATAAATGTGTCAATTAAAATAGATATTTTAATCCATTAATTATATTAAAATCATGCTAACACTAATCCTAACGTTATGCCCTGACATAAACATTGCATTCAATTACTAGGGGATTGCGTATAGATGATTAATTGTCAGGATTAAGTGTCTGCGGATTAAGTGGCGTACACCGATAATTTATGTATAAGAGTAAACGCCCTTTTATTTTATTAATCAATCTATAAAATGATAGTTAATCTCAAGTACAATTTACAAAACACATAACATAATAGTTCAAAATAAAGCCAATACGAAATATTTAGAAGCTTTGAAACCCGGACGAAATAACCTTATCAAAAGTTTATCTAGGAGTTAAAATCACAAAGTCACCTCATCCGTTTGAGTGAAAACAGCGTATCTAAAATATTTACTTTCTTTTATTATCGCAACGAGATTTAAAATGCACAGTTCCGCTTGGAATATTATTGGTATATCGTGAGTGATTAAAATAATGGATTTTTTTAAACCGAGTGTTATTGACTTGTTTTAGGGGTTAAAAAGGGTGCTGGGTGGGCTGGAGTTAAAACTCTATCGATAGGAGAATTAATCTCACATTTATTATTGATAATCTACTTGGTCAGGGGAGTTGCAATAAAATCTACGGTTAGCGTAGCACCATCTAACACAGAGGTAGGGCGAAAGGTACAAGTATATAGGGTACAACACAATACAGTTCGATACAGCACGAAACACAACTCGACACTCTACGACACAACACCACACTACACGATACATATCACACAAATGGTTACCACACGATACACATAACCACGACACGACACAACACAACTGTACACAGCACCACACAACACCATATATTTCAACACAGTAAGCCCAAGACCAAACACAATTCAACACGATACAACACCATACAACGCGATACATTACTACACATATGGATACCACACGATACACAAAACCACGACACGACAAAACACAACTTCACACAGCATAATAGTACACGAAGCATTGCAACACATCAAAACCCAAACGATACAACACAATACATTACTACAGATATGGATATAAAACTATACACACAAAGCACAACACATCATGACACATCAGAATATAACAAACAAATAGGATTAGATTTCTATACCGAGTAAAGTACAACCGCTTAAGTACAACAAGACTCTACACATCTAAAGTTGGTTTATTGTATACTGCTGTATAAAAGGTTCAACATACATTTACAGCTTAACATATTTACCATATTAACATATGTGTAAACACTTCTTCAGCTGTTATCTTCACACAGCTTCTCTATCCCTCACTCATGCAAACAATTTAACTACACATATAACCAATTTAAATCAACTAAAAATATATAAACAACCAATCTCCATATAATAAATGTTTATTAAAGTTCATATTTTCACTACTGATATATTCTAATTATATTTTATTAAAACATATAAATATATTTTACCCAAAAATATTTCAAAAATGATTTTTTTTATGTTCCGCTATTTTCATTCTTCCGCAGTCTTTATTCTTCCGGTAGCTAGACTAGAAAAATCTCCACTTCTCAAGGGAATTAATCAGTCTAAGACCTTGGGTGTGTGAGGTCGAATTGACATTGATAAAAATTACCTCAAACATTAAATCTTCGATCCAAAACAAGCACACTAGAATCTAAGTTATTTAATGTAAGTAGACACATTCTAAAAAACCAGTACACTAGGACAAAGTGTTACTACTTTTTAATTTACTGTTCAAACTTTTAAGATTCTGCTGCACTTTTGTATTTTACAAATTAACTAGCGAGTTTTTTTCCTTTTTATCGAATGCAGCCTCTGAAACCTTACAAGTTCCATTCATTTTATTTTTCTATTTGCTTTTCTCATTAAAATTTTGAGCATAGAATATGTGGCTATTGTTATTTTTTTTTTTAACAGCTGAAAAAAAAACGTATTTGCGTCAAAACTAATGATCAGTAAAAACACATGACCCTGTATCAAATACATGTATGACGTCATTCGTCAAGGCCAAACGTATCTACAATCGTGTTGTCTGAATGACGTGGAATCCCGACATGTGTCTTGTAACTGTTGCTCCTGTCAATGTTCAATTTGCAACAGCATGTTGGGAATGTATGACGTATTCCTGCCCCCACAATACATATTTTATATCAGTGGTTCTTAATCTTTTTGGAGGTACCGAACCCCCCGGGTTTCATATATTCATCCACCGAACCCTTCTTAATAATTCTATCGTTCGCACTGACAAATCCAATCGTGAATAATATAAGTCGTGTATGTGTCTTGACCTCCGCCGAATCCCTGCGATTGACTCACCGAATCACTGGGGTTCGATCTAACCCAATTTAAGAACCACTGTTCTTTGCATATTTTTACCATAGATCCAAATTGCTCTATATCTGTATCTGCTTTAATGCAGCGGATACGTTACTCTCATGCAGAACATGGGTGTCTATCAATGCTGGCTTTTAATTGGATTCTCTCCCGCTGATGGATGGAAAAACATTTAAGGAAAGATAAAATGTAACTTCTACCAGACAATGTCTTGCCATGTGCAAGGCTATTTGCACGTATTTTGGGAACTCTGGAAAAATGTGTTCATTATTCTGTCGCAGTGTCCGTCTGTCGCAATGTCCGTCTGTCGCTGTGTCCGTCTGTCGCAATGTCCGTCTGTCGCTGTGTCCGTCCTTGTCATTTGTGTGAGGGAAGTGGGAGGTTGGTTTTGAGATGTGGGATGTTTGATATGGGATGTTGGACCCATGATGTAAAGTGTTGGATGTGGGTTGTGGGATAATGGTTGTTGGATGTTTGATGTCTGATGTTTGATGTTGGATGTTGCTTATTGGATGTTGGATGTTAGATATTTGATGTGGGTGTGTTGGAGATTACATAAGGGATGTGGAATTGGGATGTGGGTGGTAAGATGTGAGATGTGTGATGTTGGATGTTAGAAATGGAATGTTGGACGTGGAATGTAGGGTTTTGGATGGGGGTCATGGGATATGGGATAATTGATGTTGGATGTTTAATGTCTGATGTTTGATGTGGGGTGTTGAATATCGGATGTTGGATGTTTGATATTTGATGTGGAGTGTTGGATGTTAGATATTGGATATAGAATATTGGATATCGGATATGGTATGTAGAAGTGGGATGTGGGATGTGTGTGGGATTTTGGATGAGGGATGTAGAGTATGAGACGAAAATTCTATTAAAGTTATTTCTAAATTTGATTATGCCTTCTGGCTATTTAATGACGAAGTAAAATTATCTTCCTCTTTTGGGTTCTGAATTATAATATTTCTTCCAATATAAATAAGTATTATATGTCAACATGTTATGCACCCGTTGACTCCGACTTTGCTTTTCTTTCTAGGTTTGGTTTAATAGCCTTTGTCCACAGAAGAAAAATCTGCAAGACAGCAGTTGTTTGATTTTGGGGTTTTCTTCCCTTCATTTTTTTCCCAGCTATAGAGCTCATCTCACAGAGGTTTTAAAATCAAGGCTTTTGGAATTAACAATCATACACTTTCCCGAAAGATCATACCTTACTTTGAAAATCTTCTAAAATGTGAGTTCCGTCTAATCCAATGGTAGAATAAATACATCTTCTTGGAGATTACTAAAAACAAACAAAACCTTACGGAAGTAACCCCGCCACCTCACTAGCCCCACTTTGACCAGATTTATAAATATTGCAACGACCAACTTTCTTTTATAGCTTCAGTCACCCTTTATTGTGCTCGAACATCAATCTCTTGTTCTACCTTGGTTTAAAAATGTCAACAGTTTGAACAATAAATATGGCTTTAATACCCAAATCTCAGAGACTAAACTAACATTTCGCAAAGCTTTGCAAGTGCTAAAATGGCAAATATTGCGGTTAACATTTTAGAAAAAAAGCTTCACCTTGAACTAATAAAGTTTTTTTTTTTTAAAATAGCTCCGCATTATATCGATATCGGTTAAAAAATCGTCCCAAGTATTCGATTCTCGTTTTTTTTTTTTTTTTTTTTTTTGGACGATATTTAAACATCACGTGACGAAAATATCTCAAATTAACAAAAGATTCGAGCCAGCTTTGTCGTAATTATATATTTGTACGTAATTAAAAAGCCATGCCGCGTCATGTATACAAAGTATCAAAGAACACTGCAGGGTTGCCGAGTTGAATAATAGCCAGCGCATTATTTAGCCGGCGTTGAGACAATACATTCATTTTTCACGATGTCAATTATTGTCTTTGCTTTATCTTTGAGCCATCAATAAATATCCCTGCGCGAAGGTTGTATCGTATTGAAGGCGTATTGATTTCTACTTGCACTACATTATTTGGCACATTGCGCCACCCCCTGTGATGCTATGCTCATGTTACTGGTAGAATACAAAACAGTTCAATTAAAAATCTGGATAATTTAATTAAGAAAACAGCTGAAGCCATTTCTCGTGTTTTATGTGGTTTTTGTTTCTTTCATGGGATAAGTCTGTTATGCTTGATTTTTCATGATGCTTATGATGTTCCATGATGTATGAGACATCATTAGACGATATGTGATTGCGTATGTAGCTAATTTGATACATTAAAGATTATACAGGCTTTGTACTCAATTATCAAAAAAACAGGTATTTAGTAGTATTAATTTCTGATTTTTTCATTACTACATTTCTAAAATACATAAAGCTTATTTTATAGCAATATAACAATATATAAAAATTGCCAAAACAAGGTCGATTCGTGTTTACTGTCATCAAAACGCAGTGTAAAATAAACCATGTGTACTGTTCGTATTTTTTAAGTATTAAGAAAAACTTGTTCTTGTTTTATTTTATTTTATTCCGTTGTGCACAATATCTCTTTATTTAAATAACAAGAATCAACAAATATATCATGTATAAAACATAAGAAAGTACATTTGATAAAAAAATATTTCAATGTAAAGGTATAACATAATATCAAATTATTTTATTTACTCTTAAAACCGAACATAAAATACGTTGATTAATACTGATAAAAATAATAACATTTGTTCAGTGAAAGACATTTTTAGTATGTTACGTTTTGTTAAAAGAATGTAATTATGGTTTTCAAAAATAAGTTAAGCGAAATAATAAGATGCTTTTTAGCGGATATTGTAAAAACTGCATTTGCATTATAAAATCTTAATATGATTATACATTTATAAAACTAAATACCAGGTGTTGTTTGTTTTTTTTTCTCGTAAAAATTCATGTTTAAAAACGCCAAAATCTAACAATATTTATTTCTAGATTTTAAAAAGTGATTAGTTGAAACAGCAAAATAAAATTATCACAGTAAAACACGTCCCAAGAATCAATGAGTATCGAAGCAGCGTTGTAACATTTTACTTTAAACTGGTTCATCAAAACATCGAATATTTTTCAACCCGGAAACACTTTATTTTCAACTAATTTCTTCAAACTGATGAGTATTTATAAACACGGAAGCATTTTATTTCACACTATACCTACAAAAGCGAATAAATATATTCTCAGCTTTGCAGTTTAATCTAAAATATTTCGGATTTGCAGCATGTTATTGTGAATTGCTACCCATACACAACAGACATTGAATATATATCCTGCAGTGTATTATTCCTTGGATCTTCTAGCTCTGATGATCAATGCTAAGAGTGAAAGAATTCTAAAAGCCACTTGCAGTACGACGAGCATTATAAAATCAAATATCAAGTTGCTCTGGAATAGAGAAATGAATGTCTCAGAACAAATATACCCTGCCTTATCAAATATGAAATTAAGCAGAACTTAATTTTTTAAATTAGATTTTGATAGGGGTACCTCTTTAAAGCTGGTGTAATCTAGTACATCGTCACCTGTTCTGTACAAGCAGTTGGTGATGGGGTAGGGCGTGGTCATGTTGCCAGGTAGGGTTACGTTAGGACATGCTGAAACATATAAAGGTGGGTTAGGGTTAGATATCTGTAAAATGTACAGTTTTAGGGAGAAGGGATAGGCCTACATATTTATCCCAAGATCCGCCTATAGCTAAACAAAAATATGGTGACACGACAGTAATACTTGAACGATTTTTTTTCCTTACGTATATGGTCGATATTTCTCCATTCGTTGACCATTAGGATCTCGTTGGAGTACTTAAACCAGGAAATATATTCCAGCCAGACAAAATACACGGGCGTAATGCTGAAATAAGGTGTGGGCGTTGTTATATTTATGCTAAACACGAGGTGAATTGGTATTAACAAACAGATCATTAATTTTGTGGTCCATCTATTCGCTATTATCTCGAACACCCTCTAAAGATTATAGATAATCGAATTACCCATTATAAGCAAATGGACAAACAAAAAGATGACAAACTGACAGTTTTAACAGGCAGACCTTGACCCACTAACCCCATTATTAACGGGAAAACAATAACCTACTTACATTATTAAAGAACAGACCATTGCTCACTTATCCTTTTTTTAACATGAAGACCATGACATACTTACATTGTTTACGAACAGACATTGGCACGCTTAACTATTACTAACGAGGACGACCATGACCTTCTTTCATTATTAACGAACAGACCTTGACCCACTAACCCATTATTAACGAGAAGACCATGACCTACTTACATTATTAACGAACCTTGTCCCACTAATCAATAGGGCTGGTAAGTAGATCACCAACCAGCTCTATGTCTCATGCAGGTTTTATTGAGCTGTAGAACTGTTTGGTGACCTACTTACCAGCCCTATAACTAACGAAATTACCTTGACCCACTTACCCATTATTTACAAAGAGACCACCAAACAACATGACAGGAATGAGTAAAGGTGGCGCCACTGCCAGTGACACAGTGACACTGCCACATATGGTTGATATCAGGTAACCTGACAGAAGAAACTCACTCCAATTAATACAAAAAATTTATTTATTTAACTTCTAACAAATTAACAGGAGCTACTAACAAACAAAAAATTCCAATCGTGGTAATTTGTTTGCGTGTGACTCATTGTTTTGTCTTCCAAACAAAATATGTCATGTATTGTATACGTTTATCACGGGATGTCTAAGATTTTTATTAAATTATACAGGAGATATTATCCCAGGAGTGGGATTAAAGTGCTAGACAACACAATATTTTTGTAAACTTTTAGAAAACGAGTTTAGAGTATTTGTAACACACGAAAGGTTTGGTAAAATGTATCGATTTGATATTTTTGTAGAAAAAAATAAGCTGTTGTCATTTTTTTTAAGTCTGGCTTTGGTTGTTTAAAAAATCTGGCAAGGACAAAACCAGTCTTACCCAGCGAGATGGCTACGTTTGCGGTTAGCACAAGAACACCAGCGGCTATTAGATAGGCTTCCCATGATGCATACAGACCTGCGGAAGTTGTGGGGTTTGAATTTCATTACAATGGTTATATAATCACGAGATGTAATTGACATTGAGAAGTTATAACGAATATATATATATATATATATATATATATATATATATATATATATATATATATATATATATATATATATATATATATATATATATATATATATATATATATATATATATATATATATATATATATATATATATATATATTGTTTCTCTAATTAGTTTCGAAATCTCAAGCTCGTTAATTTGAAAAACAATTTTAACAATCAAATTTAGCATTTGACACAATAATTTTTTTTTTAAGATAATCGTTTACTTTTCAAAATTAGCTAAATTACGAAGAATTGCAATTTATTTAACTTAATTTGCATCAAAATTAATGCTGAAGACACACGTAGCTAATTTTATCTTTCAAGCGAAACTTCCAGAATATTAAAATCAACTCACCAATCATCCAATAAGTTATTGAAACAAATATCAAACTGACAGCCACAAACAACGGCACCTGAAATGAAAGTTAAAACGACAAAGTTATAAAATAGACAACTTTTAGAACATTTACGACATAAAAATAACAGTGTTTTGATTGTGAGTTGGGTTTGGGGGTGCGAGGAGGGGGGTCGTTGGGTAAAAGAAGAGGGAAACATGTAGACCTATAGATTTAACCTGCAGTGTTGTCCATTGTGTGCATTAAAATTGCATATGAAATTAATCCACGTATTCCATTTTCTTTAACAACACCATCTATTTATTAGACCACGTTTATCAAAAGTGTTTGCTTGAGATTCAGCCCGAAAACAAATTTTTCGAAAGCTTTAAAACTAATACAATGCGATATTTACATTTAATGACAAATTAAATAGTTCAGCACATTTAATGACAAATTAAATAGTTCAGCAAGTTTTTAACAGAACCAAACAATTTTAGCGGATCAACTAACATGGATTTTTGTTTTAAAGTGTATGTTAAAATGCATTTATATAACTGTAAATGTTTTATTTCTATTCTCAAAATAAGCCATTCTCTCACTTTTTAGCGCAATTTCCATTCTGGAGAATTGCGTTTATTAACTCTTCATTTCTGGGAATGTATGGATGGATGAATGTATGGATGTATGAATGTGTGTCCGGGCTTTAAGTCGTATCTCCTCCTCAACGAAGCAATATCGATGACTAGTTACAAAAGCAATTATGTTAAGCAAGTTACGAGGATGAACATAGGCCATAAAAATTCCGGGTTTCTTTCATGGATTTCCCGAAAAAGCCAAAAAAAACTCGAAAAAATTCAGTTTTTGACCCATATCTCGGCACTAGAATCGAATGCTGACTTCCATCAAGTATTTTCTTCAAAGGAAACCTGACTTTCAAATTACTGACAAGAAAATTGCTTTCTTGAGAGGAATCCTACCAATCAGATTGCTGAATACCAAAGTGCTTTGTAACGAATGCCTGGATTTACTAACCAATTTTACAGTTCCTTGGTAGAATAGTCGTTTGGTCTCCAATATCAAAAGCCAAGCAAAATTAAGTTAACGTTAAAGGATTCTCATTATCGCCATTTTTGTCTTGTTACTTTGAACGTGTTTCAAATATAGACACTACTATAGACAGAGATCGGTGTTTCAACTGTGTGGTTATGTTGTGTAGTTTAACAGCGGGGACACAAAGATGTTGTGGGGGAAGGTGGGTTTGAACCCAAATAATTATATTCAGGACAAACAAAACTATAACGAAAAACGTATCAGATTTCAAAGCAAACGTGGAAATTGTAAGACATTCCATTGGCGTTAAAGGGAGTGATATTGAGGTAAAGTGTACAGTTTAACTTAATAAAAGTTAACTTGCGTTCTGGTGTTAATAAATGTATGGTGGTGTAAGAATATAAGTCAAATTAACAGTTGTAAATTCCTATGTAGGTTTAGATTTTTAAAAACAAATAGGAATCATTGGTTAAATCTTCTTTTAAGGGCGTTCTATAGTTATAATGCGTGCTACTCACGACCGACTCAACCGGACAACTCAATACATACTTCAAGCCGTGAAAATAGCAAATCAGTGTGAAGCTTAATTAAACCTCAAAAGCTGGTATGAAAAAATCCGTTTACAACAGCTTACACTGACAATTGGATTTTACTATTAGTTCAATATTCCAACTTATCTCACCTTAGCAATGTTTTCGTCAAATAATAAATGTCCGCCCTTTATATACCACTACAGAACTCACTCAAACATACAACTTACCTCAGCAAAAGTTTTCGTCAAATAATAAGTATCCGCCCTGTATATGCCACTACCGTATTCTCTCAGAAAAACACCAAGTTCCAGTGGAAATGACTGTAGAACACAAAAGCCATTAATGCAAAATTTTGAAAAGAACATGTCAGGCAGTTTTAGAATTTAGTAACGTTATTTAATTGCATACATAGATATTATATTAACCATGACGAATTGAAAATATATTTATTATAAGAACAGAGAATGTAAAGATAAATTGTATGTTGAGTTCTTGAGATGATGCACATGTAATGCTTACATTGACGACGGCGAACATGTTGGAGAACGATGTGTTGGTGATGAGTAGAAAGATGGCGCCGTTGATGTTCATGACCCCCTTCTGGTTGACGTCCAGTTGGAAGTACACAAGGCCAAGTACGATGGCCAAAGTCTGAAAGGTAACAAGATCCGTTAAATATAGTACAAGGCCAAGTACGATGGCCAAAGTCTGAAAGGTAACATGGTTTGTTAATTACAGTACAAGGCCAAGTACGATGGCCAAAGTCTGAAAGGTAACAAGGTCCGTTAAATATAGTACAAGGCCAAGTACGATGGCCAAAGTCTGAAAGGTAACAAGATCCGTTAAATATAGTACAAGGCCAAGTACGATGGCCAAAGTCTGAAAGGTAACAAGATCCGTTAAATATAGTACAAGGCCAAGTACGATGGCCAAAGTCTGAAAGGTAACATGGTTTGTTAATTACAGTACAAGGCCAAGTAAGATGGCCAAAGTCTGAAAGGTAACAAGGTCCGTTAAATATAGTACAAGGCCAAGTACGATGGCCAAAGTCTGAAAGGTAACAAGGTCCGATAAATATAGTACAAGGCCAAGTGCGATGGCCAAAGTCTGAAAGGTAATAAGGTTTGTTAAATATAGAACAAGGCCAAGTACGATGGCCAAAGTCTGAAAGGTAACAAGATCCGTTAAATATAGTACAAGGCCAAGTACGATGGCCAAAGTCTGAAAGGTAACAAGATCCGTTAAATATAGTACAAGGCCAAGTACGATGGCCAAAGTCTGAAAGGTAACATGGTTTGTTAATTACAGTACAAGGCCAAGTACGATGGCCAAAGTCTGAAAGGTAACAAGGTCCGTTAAATATAGTACAAGGCCAAGTACGATGGCCAAAGTCTGAAAGGTAACAAGGTCCGATAAATATAGTACAAGGCCAAGTGCGATGGCCAAAGTCTGAAAGGTAATAAGGTTTGTTAAATATAGAACAAGGCCAAGTACGATGGCCAAAGTCTGAAAGGTAACATGGTCCGTTAAATAAAGTACAAGGCCAAGTACGATGGCCAAAGTCTGGAAGGTAACAAGGTTTGTTAAATATAGTACAAGGCCAAGTACGATGGCCAAAGTCTGGAAGGTAACAAGGTTTGTTAAATATAGTACAAGGCCAAGTACGATGGCCAAAGTCTGAAAGGTAACAAGGTCCGTTAAATAAAGTACAAGGTATAGTACGATGGCCAAAGTCTGAAAGGTAAAAATGTTTGGTCGAATGCAGAACAGGCCAAACACGTTGGCCAGAATTTAAAAGGTAACACTTTGTGTTAAATACAGTACAAAGCCAAGTACGATGGCAAAAGTCTGTGTGGTAAATGTGGTTAAAATGTTTGTCAAATAAAGCTGTTTTATTCTAAGTTCATTCGTGTTTAAATTATTTTTCTTATTGTTTTTTTTAAATACTTTAATTGGCAACAATTAGATTTTAATTTGAAAGCTATTCAAGGTTGTTTTACCAATGCCTGCATTATCCGAACACGGAACAGGATGACGTCACGGAACATGCTGATCCAACTCCTCCAGAACAAATATCTCATCTGGACGAACCACGAGACTTCGTACCTGGAGGGAGACAGAAGGTGTTTTGGGAAGTTGAGAAGTTAAGTCAACTGGGGTGGCGCAGGATTGGTTAGAGAATATAAGCATGTTTATAAATAGCTACATTGGGTGTTTTGAGAAGTTAAGTCAACTGGGGTGGCGCAGGATTGGTTAGAGAATATAAGCATGTTTATAAATAGCTACATTGGGTGTTTTGAGAAATTAAGTCAACTGGGGTGGTGCAGGATTGGTTAGAATATAATCATGTTTATAAATAGCTACATTAGGTGTTTTGAGAAATTAAGTCAACGGGTGGCGTAGCATTGGTTAGAGAATATAAGCATGCTTATCAATAGCTATATTAGGTGTTTTGGAAATTGAGTCAACTGGGGTGGCGCAGGATTAGTTAGAAAATATAATCATGTTTATAAATAGCTATATTTGGGGTTTTGAAAATTAAATCAACTAGGGCAGGGGTCGGCAACCTGCGGCTCGCGAGCCGCATGCGGCTCTTTTGATATCAAGATGCGGCTCTCCAGCTCCTTGCGCAAATACTAATAATCTTAATAAAAAAAAATATTTGAAATAAAAAAATGTTATTGGCTCTTTAAAACCAGGAAATTATGAAAATTGTAATTTTTGGCTCTTCTGCTTCAAAAGGTTGCCGACCCCTGAACTAGGGTGTGCAGAACTAAAATTACACTTTTCGACATGAAGGTTCATAGAGCAGGTGAAGTAGAGTCCCTTTGTCAGTGACCACGGCATTCGAAGGGCTAGTGTGATCAGCACGATGCCCAGCAACTATTCATTATCTGACGTGAGTCAGGTGCCCATCAGAGCTGGGTGGACTCAGGGACATGAACCCGCCATTTGAATTCGAGATTTTTAGGTTAGCGGTCGTATCGTTCTATACGACCCTGCCATCGCAGTTAGAGCATATAATCAAGTCTATAAATAGCTGCTGCGGTTTGCCTAATTAAGTCTCAACCTAAACCTCCATGAAATCGATACTATCATTCTTTAACGAAACAAAAGAAATCACGTGTTGCCAATGACAGTAAGAAAAATCCTAAAAAAAAACTGTCCTTCCCAATAAACGAATAACCTTTTTGTATCGGCGCATCAATGAAATTTTGAGAAATATAAATCTTTTTTTTTTCACAGCTTAAAATCTCGCCCTAGGCAACAATTTCTGTTACAATCTAATAAGGCTAATCTACTTAAGAGCTAAACGAGTCTGTGTGAGCTATAAGCAGGGGGTAATGCTGCGTTAAGGCAACCGAATAGTTTCGTTATGAAGCAACATCAGTGCTAATTGCTAAAACTTCGGTAAAGTGGGCAAGTGAATAGAAACACTTAAGCTTAAAACATAAGCTTGACATGCGCAGGTTGGTATATGGAAATGTAAATAAAATAGATAACAAACTTACCTTGAGTTGCCAGCTAATATATCTTCAAACTGAAACAGATTATTATAAACTTGGTTTAATAGTCAGACATTACATGGTGTTTTAATACTTATATTCTGTTATTATTAATTTTATGCTATGCCGTCTTTTTAAGGTATATAAACTAGCTCAATACAATTTAACTAGGGCATTTTAATTAAAGTTTTTATAACTTCCGGTAAGTAACAATGCTAACATTTGTGTTCCATTCCTTACTAATGTTAACAAATATGTGGATCATTGTACGGTCAAAATTTTAACAGTAAAAATTGCCAGGATGGGGAAGGTTTGTTAAACAAGAGAGCGAGAGATAGAGACAAAGGTAGAGAGAGATAGAGAGACACTTGCCAATGTCAGGAAAAGAAAAAAATAAATACCGGCTATTACGTCACAAAGTGTGACAATGGCATAAGATGGGACCAGTTTAAAAAGACAGAAAACACTTACTATAGGGTCACTATGTGTGACAAATGCATAATACAGGACCAGTTTTAAAAGACAGAAAGCACTTACTATAGGGTCACTATGTGTGACAAATGCATAAGATGGGCCCAGTTTAAAAAGACAGAAAGCACTTACTTTAGAGTCAATGAGTGTGGCAATGGCATAAGATGGGACTTACTATAGGGTCACTGAGTATGACAATGGCATAAGATGGGACTTACTATAGGGTCACTGAGTATGACAATGGCATAAGATGGGACTTACTATAGGGTCACTGAGTATGACAATGGCATAAGATGGGACTTACTATAGGGTCACTGAGTATGACAATGGCATAAGATGGGACTTACTATAGGGTCACTGAGTATGACAATGGCATAAGATGGGACTTACTATAGGGTCACTGAGTATGACAATTGCATAAGATGGAACTTACTATAGGGTCACTGTTTCTTGCCTTTGCCTGCTGCATGAGTTCTTTAGTCTGGGTAGCCATGTTGGATGCTTGCTCCGTCACCAAAAATGCGTCACATATAGACTGAAACACAGCAGTTTAAAGTAAACTTTCTTTTCGAACCTAACGGCCTATAGAGCGAGTGAAGTAGAGTTCACGTGTTTCTGTCACTTTGGCATATGAAAGGATATTGTGGTCAGCACTATACTGAGTGACTTTAACTTTCCCTTTAGCTACCTATCAGCGCTGGGTGGACTCAGGGACATTCAAATGACTTGAACCAACATTCTCTAGACTTTCGGGTTAGCTCTACTTCTAGACCACGCCGTCCATAGCATAATATTACTACTTTAAAATGTATAAGCAATACATATGTCGTTTACTCTCCGTATTTATATAGACAAGCTATGTGCTTTCTAAACGAAATACTTCAGGTTTTTTCATGGGAGGATCTACTATCATTGACTGTGATGTTGAATTTGGGACTTACAGGGGTAAGCAAGTTCGTTTACTACTTAACCACATCTCCCCAAACTCCTAAACAACAAGAGCTACTGCTCCAATAAAATCGATGGTATTTACTTTCTTCGCCTCCGGCTCAGAATAAAAAGACAAAAAGTTTTGTTGTTGTGTGCTATTGTTTACGGTTACTAAAGCTGATGGAATTTTTTTTTCGGAGACGAGTTTTAAGAAAAGAAAACTTTGAAGGTCTTTGACTTGGAGCTGAGTGGATAGAAGCAGGACAACAGTATTACATTACCTCGTTATATTCCTAAATAGTGTCTGGTCTGCGATAGGTAATGGATAGGAAGGAGATGAGGGGGGGTTATAACAATGAGACGCAAGAAGTAGAAAAACAGGATACAAAACACGTTAAACTTGTTAACCCGAGTTATCCGATGCTTTCTTTTTAAAAAAAAATTTAAGTAAATTTTCAACAAAGTAGTTAGGAAACAGGAAACTCTGGAACTACTTGTACATACAAAGAGTTTTGATGGTATGTGAAATTTTAATTAAGTGACTGGACTTGGTAAACTCGTGGAACTATATTTAGGTACCGAAAGCCACATCTAAATTGACATGTTCTAAAACTAATCTCAATTGATTGATGTTAAGTTGAAGAAAAATGTTTACACCCGCCCAACACACCCAAACCTCAAGATCTGAATGGCAGTTCCAAATGATCAAACGATCAGAATTACACAGTCGTAATTGTAACTGCTACTTTGCAGTTGTGAAGACGTTTTCATACATTCTAGAAGGTACCTTTGTTCGTTTCCGGCATTCTTCTTCATTTCCTGGGACTATGGCAAGTGTGAGTATGTAGTGGTCACCGGGGTTAAAGTTCATAGGGCAAGGGTGGCCCATCCTGTGGGAAACATTTAAAGGAAACATTTAACATAGGGCAAGGGTGGCCCATCCTGTGGGAAACATTTAAAGGAAACATTTAACATAGGGCAAGGGTGGCCCATCCTGTGGGAAACATTTAAAGGAAACATTTAACATAGGGCAAGGGTGGCCCATCCTGTGGGAAACATTTAAAGGAAACATTTAACATAGGGCAAGGGTGGCCCATCCTGTGGGAAACATTTAAAGGAAACATTTAACATAGGGCAAGGGTGGCCCATCCTGTGGGAAACATTTAAAGGAAACATTTAACATAGGGCAAGGGTGGCCCATCCTGTGGGAAACATTTAAAGGAAACATTTAACATAGAGCAAGGGTGGCCCATCCTGTGGGAAACATTTAAAGGAAACATTTAACATAGGGCAAGGGTGGCCCATCCTGTGGGAAACATTTAAAGGAAACATTTAACATAGGGCAAGGGTGGCCCATCCTGTGGGAAACATTTAAAGGAAACATTTAACATAGGGCAAGGGTGGCCCATCCTGAGGGTAAACATTGAACGGAAACATTTAACGAAAGGGTTACAGCATAGTGTAACAACTGGTTAATAACCGTAGAACTAGGAATAAGAACATAGTGTAACAACTGGTTAATGACCGTAGAACTAGGAATAACAAGATAATGTAACAGCTGGTTAATGACAGTAGAACTAAGAATAACAAGATAATGTAACAACTGGTTAATAACCGTAGAACTAGGAATAACAACATAATATAATAGCTAGTTAATAACGGTAGAACTAAGAATAACAAGATAATGTAACAACTGGTTAATAACGATAGAACTAAGAATTGAAACAGAAGTAAAAAAACTCGGAACAAGGAACGTTCCTGTCTTTACCTGTCGAAGAATGTAATAGCTTCATCTCTGGAACCCATGAAGGCTGTCCTGCCCTCAGCCAACAACAAAATTCTGTAATTAACATTAAGGTATTAGTCACAGCGTGGTCGATTGGTAGAGCATTCAACTGCTAACCTAAAAGTCAGATCCCGGAGTCAACCCAGCTCTTGTGGGTACCTGACTCAAGTTTTCGGGAAGTAAAAACGGCTGGACATAATACGGACCACACCATCGTTCATATGCCGAGGTCACTTCACGAGCCTAGTTGACCGGTATGTTAGAGAGAATACATTATTAGACACGGCAGATTATAGGGATGGTGTCAAGGATATAGATCTATCTAGAAGCAAAATAAAATAATACCCAAATAGCCAATAAGGCAAATAAAAAGAATTCACCTGTTTCTGTAACATATCAAAAATACTTTCCTTGTTCCTTGGCTTTTTTTTTAAATAATAAATTACCAAAACAGTAGTTACTTTTTTAAAAAATTATATCAAATATGATGGAGAAAAAAATGATGCAGACAGTTTTTTTTTTACAACCACAGTTGTGTTATTTCAACCGGCGGCGTCTAAGAACTAACGAATGTTTACATCAAAAAATCTACTACTTAAAGTGCACAGTAATTACAAGGCAAGCGGTACCAAAATGTAGATCAAGTAACCGTAACTCACTGATCAAACATCGAGAACAACTCTGAAGACGGCTGATGAATCGTGCACAAGATTGTCCTTCCCTTTGATGCCATTTTCTGTCGATGACACAAAATTACAAGATACCTTTCAGCTAACAAAGGAACGTTCATCTTTGGCGTGAATTGATTTTGGTCTTACACAACACATAATAACAGAACACGATGAATTGGGAATATTTATTTGGGCTGATTGTCAAGCGAGGCTTGCTATTGTAAACTCAGTTCAGCTCGACATTCAGTGTAAGAACCAGATTTCAAGCAACCTCACCTCTAAAATTAGAAAATAAATCATCGTGTCCGTAGATAGCCAGTGATAGATTTATACTTTAAAAAAACTGAAGTGAATTGAATATGATCTAAGTTTGTGGCTATTCTTATTTTCTATTTTAGACATCAAGTGATTTATAATTTAGTTCTAACATATGAGGGATTGAAACCCCTTTTCACTCATTTGTATGGTACTTTTATGCTTTTCCAACTTATGCAGTAGCGTAGCGAGGGGGGGGGCGGGGGGGGGGGGGGCATATGTCCCCGGGCGCCGACCTTAGGGGGCGCCAAAATGGGTTGGAAAAATAAATTGAAAGGTTGAGGGGAGTGCAAATTGAAAGTTTGAGGGGGGTGCAAATCGAAATCTTGAGGGGGGTGCAAATCGAAATGTTTGTCACCGGGCGCCGGGAAGTGTCGCTACGCCTCTGAGATTGTGTTTCTTAGTTACTTTTGTGACAATAATTACCTATATTCGTGACATCTATTTTTTCTCGTCAATAAGTTTGTGACACGATTTTTTTCTCACCTGTAGGTAAGACATTCTTCTTCTCATGTTTAACATCGTAACATTCTTTTTTTCACCTGTTTGTCTGACATTTTTACCACTGATAAGTTCGTGACACACTTTCCTCACCTATAAAGTGGCTACATAATTCTCCTCACCTCTCAAAGGGTGACATAATTCTCCTCACCTGTAAAGTGGTGACACAATTCTCCTCACCTGTAAAGTGGTGACATAATTCTTCTCACCTGTAAGGTGGTGACACAATTCATCTCACCTGTAAAGTGGTGACACAATTCATCTCACCTGTAAAGTCGTGACACAATTCATCTCACCTGTAAAGTCGTGACACGATTCATCTCACCTGTAAAGTGGTGGCACAATTCATCTCACCTGTAAAGTGGTGACACAATTCATCTCACCTGTAAAGTGGTGACACAATTCATCTCACCTGTAAAGTGGTGACACAATTCATCTCACCTGTAAAGTGGTGACACAATTCATCTAACCTGTAAAGTGGTGACACAATTCATTTCACCTGTAAAGTGGTGACACAATTCATCTCACCTGTAAAGTGGTGACAATATTCTGAGCCATAAACGTATCGAGGCCAGAGGTGGGCTCGTCACAGAAGAAAATTGGGGGGTTGGTCAAAGCCTCGGTGGCGAAGGAGAGTCTCTTCCTCTCTCCCCCAGATATCCCTCTCTTCTCCGTGTTGCCGATTCGGCTGTCGGCACAGTTCATCAGGCCCATCTACAATATAATATGAGTATCATGATAGCATTGGTATTATTAGCCTGAACAAACAACTAGACAAGAGTATCATGATAGCATTGGTATCATTGGTAGGACCAAACAACTAGACGACAAGAGTATCATGATATTATTGGTATTATTGATCTGACCAAACAACTAGCAAACAAGAGTATCAAGATAGCATTGGTATCATTGATCTGACCAAACAACTAGACTAGAGTATCATGATAGTTTTGATATCATTGGCCTGACCAAACAACTAGACAACAAGAGTATCATGACAGCATTGTTATCATTGGCCTGAACAAACAACTAGACAAGAGTATCATGATAGCTTTGGTATTATTGGCCTGACCAAACAACTAGACAAGAGTATCATGATAGTATTGTATCATTGGTCTGACCAAACAACTAGCAAACAAGAGTATCATGATAGCATTGGTATCACTGGCCTGAACAAACAACTGGTCAAGAGTTTCATGATAACATTGGTATCACTGGCCTGAACAAACAACTAGACAAGAGTATCATGATAGCTTTGGTATTATTGGCCTGACCAAACAACTAGACAAGAGTATCATGATAGTATTGTATCATTGGTCTGACCAAACAACTAGCAAACAAGAGTATCATGATAGCATTGGTATCACTGGCCTGAACAAACAACTAGTCAAGAGTTTCATGATAGCATTGGTATCATTGGCATGACCAAACAACTAGACAACAATATCATTGGTAGGACTAAATTAGACAATAAGAGTATCATAATAATATTTGTGTCATTGGTTTGAGTAAAAAACACTAGCCAACAACACTATCATAATAGAAATAGTATCATTGGTCAAAGCAAAAAACTAGAAAACTAAAGTATCTGATACGTTTTGATATCCTTCAACTGACCAGCGAACTAAACAACTATACCATAACGGTACCATTGCTAAAACTGTTCAAAACATCAGCAACACTTATATCAAGTTACATTTGATACAAATAGTTTAAGTAATGTCCAGAAACATAGAAGTCATTTGTGGTACCAGTCTATGTTATATTTTATTGTGTGTTGTAAGCATAGTACCTCTGAAATGACGCTTTCAACACGAATAAGCCTCGCTTTTCTGTCAAGCCTTTTGTCCATTCGCAGCAATGCCTGTAGGATAGAAGAAAACAGTGGGTATTTGTTAAGAAAAAAAACATACATTAGGATTAATCCCGCATAAACAGACATACAAGGAAGTACATTCAACGGCTGTGTTATGTTTTTACTTTACATTACTTTTACTCTCGCCACTATAAAATAAAGTAAATCTCTTCAGTTGTCATAAAATACTGGTGTGTCTTTTCTTTATGTTTACATAATGAACACGAACAGGCTGACATATGTTATTGTATTTGTTCCCGTAGGTAGACTAACAAGCCCGGGACTTACACGAAACTGTAGCTGTTCTCTCACTGTTAGAGTAGGGATAAAAATGTCGTCTTGTTGGACGTACGCTGACAGTTCTTTTATTTCGTCAGATATCTGGGGGACAGATACACACATTTTGTTAGATATATGACCTATACATTCAGTCAGATATTTGGTACACAGACATATAAATTTAGTCAGATATATGGGGACAGATATACACATTTAGTCAGATATCTCATGCGGAAACATTGCCGGAGAGATTTTTTTTTAAATGTATAAGGAGGCGGTTGTGGCTATGATTTCAATAGATCCGCCTAAGTTATGATCTATTTAAAGCACTAATTAACACAGGAACAGTGTTTCTTCCAGACTTTTTTTCCGGGGGGGGGGGGATGGTACTTGATATTTTCGGGGGGGGGGGCGGTCAAAAATTTAGGGGGGGGGGGCGGACACTAGTAAAAGTGTATGTTTACTATATAAAATCCATCTCATTCGGGGGGGGGGGGGGGCGGTAGACTTTCTTCGGGGGGAGGGGGGACGACTCTGCCCCCCCCCCCCCTGAAGAGATGCCTGGAAGAAACTCTGCACAGGAAACATCGAGGGAGACTTACTGGCCTTCCATTAGCACATATATCTCCAGCAAAGTTGTAGTTCTTGACGTTCCTCCGCGTTAAAATATTGAGCAGCGTAGACTTTCCCGCACCGCTGGGGAGGGCCAGACAAAAAGTTCATGTTTACACGGTAATGGTCAGCGTGGGGCATGGGGTAAGGCTAATTTTAGCTGGTCATTGAGTGAGAGTGAGATGGATTATGGGAGGTGAGATGAGGCGAGGTTCGGGTTTCAAATAAAATGTAAGTGTAAAGAGGTGAGTACCTGGCTCCCATGATGGCCAACAGTGTGCCAGGCGGAACTAGGCCACTAACTGTAACAACGAAACAAAATGAGACAATGAGACTTTGCTGTGTATATATCTATATATATATATATATATATATATATATATATATATATGTGATTGTGTGTGTGTCATATGTCTGTATATAATATATATATGTATATACATATGTATTTTTATATATTTGTGTATTTACTATGTATTTGTGTGTGTTTGTGTTTGTGTTTGTGTGTGTGTGTGTAATATGTATAGATATAAAATATATGTACGCATGTTTATATAGACATATGTCACTGAAGCGGCGCCACCCAGACACATCTTACTGTTTTTTAGAATCTGTTTCTCCGAGGCCGGCACGAACTCCCCACTACAGAACTTGGTCCTCCGGGCGGGCATGTTGACCCAGACGCTGACGTTCCTCCAGCTGAGAGCGATGGGGTGGGTGAGGTCCATGCTGGCGTGTCGTTCTAGACGGATGGTAGGCACCGACTCACAGTGTTTCCCCTGCAAGTATACTGTCTTGTTAACTTAAAAGCGCAATTGCTTTTAGAACAGATGCTGTTATATATATCTATGTGTGTGTGTGTGTCTGCCTGTGCGCTTGTGTCTGTATGTGTGTGCGTGGGCGTGTGTCTGTGTGTCTGTGTGTGTGTTTGTGTTTGTCCCCAGATGCCAAGGTGGATATGTAATGAAAAACGTACAAAAATTGGAGTTCGGTTCTTGGGATGCGTTATATGTATACAGAAATATATATTTTATTAATTTTATTTAAACTATTTTTAAATCAAAATTATAACACTACTTTGTTATTCATTTCAGTGTACTGAAAGTCAATTTATGATATTTTAATGACTCCTTATCAATGTCCAAAAAAAAAAAGAACGTGTTATGTTAAAACAAGAACAACAGGCACTAAACACAAAGTCCATTCAATTTACCGCATCGACTTGATCTACTTTGGACGAGAAAGATTCTGATGAATTCTGAACTTCTATAGTCGTGTCGTTGTCCGCGTTGTTGGAGTTATTCGAGTTGAGCAGGGGTGTCCTCTCAGACGGTTCCACCACACGTGACGCCATACTTTACCGTTGAACCGGCTGACCGGTGGCTAGCAGTTCCTGAAATTAATCTGTAATGACAGAATGGAGAATCAGCGCGGCGTCTTAGAAGGCCGAGCCAAAACGTATTATCTCGATGGGTGTGCCCTGCAAATTTCGGGGAAAACCGGAAGTTTCCCGGCGAATATCTGGCGTCATCTGGCGTCAGTTATAATGACGTTGTCGCGTTGCCAGACAAGGTGATGGCCTAGATATGAGAGCAGCCGGTCTTGGGACCAGATATTAACATTGTATCGTCTTCTCTTTGTACAACAAACATACGTTGGGGTTACAACACTACTACACCGCTTGTATCTAATTTTTTTAACATGGCATTAGTTAAGAAAAAATAATGTCAGTGGGGCCTGCATCAAAAGACGTGTCATGGATTCAATAGCGCCATAACACCACATGTTAATGATAGTTTAACTATATTATTTGTAGTTTATAAGCTCCTATCGGATACTAATTCACTTTAACACGAGTTTAGACAGTGATATGCGATTAATTCCAATGACAAGAAAAACGATCTTTAGCAAAGGTATTTTATGGCCGAAATTACATGTTTTTTTTTACAGAGATATAGTTCGTGGCACTGTGTCCTAGAAATACTTTGTCTAGTACATTCGTCTGATAATTTTTGTTCAGAATATTTTATCTGGGATATTATATCTGGGATATTTTATCTGGGATATTTTATCTAGGATATTTTATCTGGGATATTTTATCTGGGATATGTGGTTCTGGAATATTTGGTCTGGGATATTTGGTCTGGGACATGTTGTCGAGGGTTTCATTCGTGTTAAAAAATGGTGGAAACTTTTAGTCTACCGTCGATCATAACCTTTGAGACCTCATAAACCATCAAGCCGATGCTCGTTCACGGACTTCGCTAAACCAAGTGCGATGAATATCAGAACATAAACACAAACAGGTTTCATAAGATCCAAATTAATGCACCTTTGTCTTAGCAAAACTGTTTACTCTCCAAATTTTATTTTACTAGACTAGCCTATCTATTTTAAAAACCAACTGCATAAACTTTGTTACCAACATATTTTCTGTTGGGTTACACTGTATAGTATCAATGTTAATTTTACTTTCGATTTTGATCCATTTACGTTTACGATTAGGATCAAGGTAAATGTTACAGCTAGAGTCAGTTAAGTTTAGGAAAATAAGAATTTTAAAAATGTCTGTTTCGGAGAACATAAAAGTGCCTACTTTAATTTATCAACGAAAACAGGGGTGTTGGGGGGGGGTGTAAGGGAGATCGATCAATAGGCTACGATTTATTGAAGGCCTTCCCACTTTGACACCTTCTGTTGTTCTTCCTACGCGTCTTTTTCTCCATCGGTTTTATTTTCTGGATCCTAAAATAGCATGGGATGACAGAGAAGATGAGGGCCCAATCGATAAATGCCCACTTTATGGGGCTGTATGGAAGCAAAGAAGCATTTCCTGATTCGGCTTTGTGAACCGGAGAATACAACTTTATTCCCTGTCACGGGAATAACGGAAGACATCAAAGTTAATGGGATTAAAGTCGGTTACACGGAATATGTTTGACCTAATTCATTCAAATTTTAGAGAAAAACATGTTCGTGCTTGGAATATAGCCAAAGAGGTTACACAGTTTAAAATCAATGTGTGATACCAACATACGGGCTACTATAAAAACTTGTGTTGTTGTTTTTTTTTTTTTAACAAGGGATTATTTATAAAAAGATTCAATGTATTCGTTGTTATGAATATTATAGGCAACTAAAAATTGTGAAAACAAATGCTAAAGCAATTAAGTTTATTTTGTATTTACTACACAGCTATAATAATAAAGGCAAAGAAACAGTGATATTTGTTTGTAAACACCCTATGGAATTAGCGAAAAAGAGCCAAAATGTATTACTATTTTAAACATTTCCTACTACACGGATACGTTGATGCTTTAAAAATAACCGAAACAAAATATGTACCGACGTAGCCTTAAACAAAATAAAGATGGTCGTACTTAAATTCATAATCTAAAATGTTAGCTTATTACAAGCGGGGTAACAAATGAAATGTCAAGGGAACTTGACATATATGTCAGATATGTATAGGAGCGTGTAAAGAAAAGTATAGCCTATAAGATTGAATAATTATTTTCTTGTTCTTTGCATATACACATGTATTATAGCATATTTTCATCATAAGATATCACATTTCGATTTTTTTTCTGATTTATTTTGTAGATTTTTTTTTAAAGCTACTCGAAATACGACATTGACAAAACCACGTTTTTGGTCCAAGTCAAAGAGAATTATCTCATCTCTGTCAAGCCGCTGGTCGATACCATTAGCTTAGTAAAACATTTAGTTATTAGGTCTATGTGTGTAACAAAAATAAGAAAATCAAGCTACTAACCATGAACGATATTTATTGCTTTAGGGAAAGTCGATCTAAATACAAAGAGTATGGCCAACTGCAATGTAGCGTTTTATTAAGAGAGTGTCTATTGGTACTTTACTACAAATAGCCCTCAGAAGGCTATTCGTATTTCGCTATTTTTAGCCGACCAATCAAATTTATTTTTAAATTCATTGGTGTATGACATTCCAATTTTGAATATCATAGTAACTTTTCCGGTGGTCGAAGTGGTTGTGCGTTGGTTCTATTCCCTTTGGCTCAGAGAATTTTTTTTTCATTTTTGCTTTTTTTTTTTTTTAATTTTACTTAAGGATTATGGTTGAGCATTAGGGTTAGGGTTAGGGTTAGCGTTAGGGTTAGGATTATGTTTAGGTTAAGGATTAGGTTTAGGGTTAGTGATAAGATTAGATCTAAAAAAAATAATTAGCTCTAGATCTATACAGCATGAAAAAGGGAATTCAAGAATCACAGTACGAATAGCCTACATAAGGCTATTTGTAGTAAAGTACGAATAGCCGCAGCCTTTATTAATTCCACCATTGTGAGCTTGTAATTAAAAAAAAATAGTTATAGGTCTATCTAGATCTAGATCTATGAGTGTTAAAAAAAAGAAAACTTACTAAACATGAACGATATTAAATTACTGCTTTTAAAATAACCGATCTAATTATATTGAGTATAGCCTACAGCAGTGTAGTGTTGTATTAATAAATTAATTCCACCATTATGTATTTGTAACAAAAATATTAGTTAGACCTAGAATGTAGCACTACATTCTAGTAGATCTAGATCTAGTCTTGGTCTAGTTCTATATCAACTCTATGTGTGTTATAAAAAAAAATAAGAAAGAAAATGGTACTAACCATGAATGATATTACTAATGCTTTAAGAATAGGCGATCTAACTATAGCGAGTATAGCCTACTACAGTGAAACATTTATTCCACCATTGTATGCTTGTAGGTTACCCCTAAACTCATTATTTTATTACTAGTCTCCGTCCTTATTCCTGCATAAAAAATACAATATTATTATATTGAAGGAATGTTATTTTTAGATTAAACCAATGCGACTTCCGGTTATGCACTTCTTGAACATGCATGCACTTCTTTTAATTAGCCAGATATTTTTTTTCCGATCATGTAACTAAAACTAAAGATAGTACGATAAAGTATGCCAGATATTTTTCCGATCGTATGACTAGAACTACGGGTAATAAGATAATGGTGTGCAATCGTTTAAATAGATCTTTCCCGATCATTTGACTGGGATTCAGGGTCGTAAGATAAGGTATGCAATGATAGCCACCCCTAAGACGCCCCCAACCACCGGTATTAGTTTTAACCAGCGCTATATCTATATATATATATGTATATATCTATATATATAATTCTCCTCTTCGAGCCGTTAGAAAACAAGCTGCAAGCGCCTCCTTGCAGTCCCCTCTCTTTCTCTCTATCACTATCACTACCACCCCCACCCCACCCCCACATTGTCTGGTGAGCTGTGGTCACGCTAAATGTTTACAAAGCTAAATGTTTACAAATCGTAGAGCCGTAGAACCGGGTTTCTATTAGGGGCAGATAATTTAGTTCGATTTTAAACTTACAGGAGGTAACTAAGAAATAACTAAGAGGAGGCTGCTTTCACGGGGGGGGGGGGGTGTAGGGTCGGGGTTAGGGGAAAGGGGAGGGGGGTTAGTGTTTTAAAGCAAATATTTTCAGTGGCAGCATTGGTACTGTCGAATTCACAAATTATGAATTACTGAAAAGTAGAAAATAAAACAACTAAATAGCGGCGTATGATACGCTGCGGGTCGGCTCGTTTGTTATATTATTCGCTATTATCGTATACAAACATACGACATCTTCTCGTCCATCACCCCAAACCCAAACCAAAACATAACCCCAAGAAACAAACTTTTATACCTGTCTTTATGACAATCCATCCGTCCATCCATCCACCCGTCTGTCTATCAATCAGCATTTGTCTTTTTCCTCTTTGTCAGTCTTTCTACCGTTGTATCTGTCTTAATCTATGTCTATAAATATGTGGGCTAGTAATTAAAACGAGTATGACCCATTTTTAATGCAACGATTTCTTTCAAACTTTCCACATACAATTATTTCCAAATACTACGCAAGAGCTCAGATTTTAAATGTAATTATTTATTTAATTAACAACATAAATATATATTAATGTTTTCACACATGCGTGACTACCACAGACGCTAATTAGAGGCTGATAATTATTGTTTATAATTAAGATCCCAGACTATTGATTTGATTTTAATGCAATATTTTTGTTTAAGTGTTAAATGTCAACTTAATTAAGAATTTAACTTTAACTTATGAAAAGAATAAAACTGGTTCTAATAAACTTAAATATCGGGTTAATAATTTAATTTTAAAATTTCTAGTTAATAAAAAGTAAAATGTGTAATAACCACCTTTTAATGCACTGAATACTTTTAATAACATAGAAAATCGTTTTTTTTTTAAACCATTGGCTGGTAAAAAGTATCAAAAAAATTTAGCGACCAACTCTTTTACCTGAGAGAAAAAAATGATATTTTCTACTTCTTTTTATGTGGCTTATATTTAGTTTGGCTTTTTTTTTTAACTAGAGCAAGCGGTTGTAAAATAAACATGAATTTTACCTAGCATAGTATCTAGGTAAGGCATACATATTTGGACAACCATCTCAAGTCGTGTTTTTAATTAAACTAATTACCTCCACAAATCACCGCTACAGTAAATGACTAGATAGCGATAAAAGGAAAGAACCTGGTTAATTAATAAGACATATTTTTACATACATATGTGGCTTAGGCTTAATTTTACTGTGAACATGAAGGTCTAAAACATTGTTTTTTTTATTTGCTGACCATTAAAGGGTTACGTAATACACCGTTTCTCGTTTTATTTTAGCTCTCGTTTTCCAGGGGTCGCTGTATTTCCCACGGCCTCAACCTAGCTCCCTCTCTCTCTCTCCTATTTTTATCTCACTTTCTCCTGTATCCATCGTTATAACTCTCCTCTCTCTATCCTCCCATCTCTATCCCTCTTTCTCGCCTCTCTCTCTCTCTCTCTCTCTCTATCGTTATTCTCTGTAGATGTCTTTATCTGTCTATGCACTCCATTATAGATGTATTCAGCTTTATATATCTCTCTCTCTTCCTTCTCTTTATCTCTGCTGTTTACTTATCTTTATCTCTTCATAGCCCTTCTCTCTCTATCTCTCTCTGCATTCTCTATCGGTCTATCTCTCCTCTTCTTTCTATCCATATATATATATATATACATATATATATATATATATATATATATATATATATATATATATATATATATATATATATATATATATATATATATATATATATATTCATATTATGTAACCTCTGTCTCCTGACCTACTTCCTAGTTGATAGCTGTTGTCGACACCAGCTGACCATAACAAAGAAAGCCCACAACACCAGCCACCTCTAGCTTGATGTACACACCACACCAAAACCTTTCACAACATCAACCAGCCCAGCACACCACTAGAGCGGTTCAACAACGCTACATCACCACTATCGGTTATCGATATCCCAACACACCGTAGACAGGAAACATCCGCGATGCTACTTTCATTTTCATCCAACACACAGCACACTGCCATTCCACGAATGATGCTATTTTTAGATGTATCGATATTTAGAATAAGACTAACCTAAATGTAAAATTAAAACACATTCTTGGATAATTAACATCACATCTTAACAACAAAATAGAATAGTAAAAATATTATATAAAATTTACCTAGATTTCGATCATGTACATGTTTAACCTATAAAAATATTGTATGAATCTTTTAAAACGAACTGAGAAGAATTATTCCCAGCGAAGTAGTCCACAAGAAAGTTTCGTAATTTTAATTAACCCACACTGTTTCGTAACTAAACAGACCGTGTCAACACAGACACGACACGCACACACAATCCCACGCCAGGAAAACACTGCCGTGTGTCAAGTGCCGGCTAGCAGACGTGTGTAGCACATTGATCAGCGCGTAAGTGTACCGAGCCTGTGTTTATCAGTGTGTAGGAGGGGCGGGCGTGTGTTCACTGTGTCAAAATACTTTGGCCTGTGAGATCCATCGTGAATGAATTGATTGTTGCTACTGAGCAGATATATTTCGGGCAAATGTCGATATTGTAAACCAGATATTCTCACAATGATTTTAGTTCTTATTACCTCGAACTATTATTCAAACTGAACACGTGACCTAGATGAATTGCTTACACAAACTCCAATTACAAGTTTAACACTATTTAGGCTTAATACTTAACCCCAAACTAAGTTAATCTTAACTTAAACCTAAACCAAATACTAACCATTTAACTAAAAATCAAACTAGTGTTTAAACTTAAAACTTAAACCTTAAACATCATTATTAATATTAATCTGGATATAGTCATATTCATCATCGCCTTTTCCCGTTCGTGCCCAAGACACATGGGGCAGATGAAGTAGAGTTCGTCTGTTTCAATGAAACCGACACACAAGGGGATAGTGTGGACCCCCTTTGTTTCCCTAAAGTGAGTCTTATACTCATCATAGCTGGTTAACCCAGTGACTTCTAACAGGCTCTAGTCTGGATCCGAACTCCAGACTTTCGGGTTAGCAGTCTAGTGCTCTACCGCTAGGCCACCCCGCACACAACATAGCCATATCGGCTATTTGAAACAAAAAGATTGTCAAACCGTAAACTTTAAACAATCCAGATATTATTTTTGACCGACCATAACACTAAGCCTAATTGATTGGATAAGAAACCAAAAACTTACGTCAATGCGAGAGAGAGTTGTATAAAGTCAGAAGTCTAGTCCTGTACCATCCTGACAAGCCATGTCAAGTTTAAAGCTCAGAACGTGATCAGATAAAAATCGATAGTCCGTACTTATCGAACAGTATCATCTGATAAAACAATGGCCTTTTTTTTTAACCGTAAGGTTAGAAACTGTTTCTGTACTATATTGATGTAATGCTTTAAACATAAGTAAGAAACTAATGAAAGTTGTTTGTTGTTGTTGGTTTTTTTTTTTTTTTTTTTTGTTTTTGTTTTTTTTTTGCTAGAGATCACAAATAAATTTATTGTATTTTAAGTTTTTTGGTGAAAAAGAAAATATTGGACTCTGTGTTGTGAACGGCGACATTTTCATTTCAATCGGTTACTGCTTGCCTATGTGATATTTAACTCCGGACTAAGTAAAAGGTTATCAATATGCGATATGATAACGATTGTTACAGCTTCTGACCTTTCTTCTCACGCAATCTAAGTGTAATTAAGTGATTAAAGCTTTGCATATTAGTGGTCAACTTAAGTCCATGCAATTTTTACAATTTTAAAAACTTTCTTCATCGCTAAGTTGATGTGCATTGCTTGGTTTACTTGCACAATTGGTATTCTGTTGTGCACGTCTGTTTGTTAAATGTTCCAACTACCCTCAGAACATTAGTGGATTTTATCTGTGTTTAATATTAACAGTTTTTGGCTGATCGACTTCAGAAGATAAACAACTCATGCACACATGTACTAATTATCATCGTGAATTCATTCTGATTGGATTTTTTTTATCGGCAAACTTTGTTTGACATTTGGTCTCTGTGGCTCTAAATGTTTAGGGCGGTTTCAAAAGATAATCTTAGCTTTCATTTTACTTCAGGTTTAGGGTACTAAATAATAGCTCACATCTGCCATACAGGCAGTCAGGGCCTGATCAAAGGTTCAACTGTCAGATCACACCCCTCTCTTCCTGCAGGATCCATCCCTTCCTCTGGCTAACCATAGCCCCCATCTACTCCCACTCTTATCATACAGATTTTGAACGTTTGTTTTCTTAAGCATAGTTTCTTTTAAGGCATTTCTTTCTTCGAGAGAAGGGGGAGGGGGCAGGGGGAAAGTGCCCAGACGCTCGTGCATCGTCCTCCCGAGTGAAATAGAAAAATATATTTTATCCGCCGCTCCGGAAATTTAAGTCGGCACCTC